TGGCTTTTCTTTGCGCGACAGCCAGCGGCTCCAGCGTGGACACAGCTCCACACAGCGGAGCAACGGTCCAGATGAGACTGGACAAATGCGTGATAAAGTCCAACGCGTTGGGGCACCGGTAGCCCGCTCTTCACACTGTTTATGAGGGCGACTCCATGATAAGCACTTTTTTGAACCTTTTTAATTTGGTCGGTCCATTTCAAATGCTCGTCAATTATCACCCCCAAGTGCTGACTTTTCCGGTTCAAGCTTATGCTCATTCAAATCAACCGACACGATGCCTTTGTCCCGACTGTACGCTGAAGTGATCATGAGCAGCTTAGACTTCTTTTCATTGACAACCAAGCGGTTCAGTTCAAACCACTCACAAATTATTGGAAGCACAGCGGTTATTTTGTCTGCTGCACCTGACTTCGTGTCTGCTATCGCATAGCAGATCGTGTCATCAGCGAAACTTTCTAACCGGACATCAGGACAACGTAAATTAATTTTCAACAATTCGTTCAGGTAAATGATAAAAAGTAATGGACCGAGAATGGAACCCTGTGGCACACCTGCGTACACACGTTCCCATAAAGACATCCGTTCACCAATTCGCACCCGTTGCATTCTGCCAATGAGATACGAGTGTAACCATTCAAGTGCATCATTGTTGAAACCAAGATCGCGCAGTTTTATTAATAACAAATTATGACACACTGAAGGAAAAGCACTTTTTAGATCAAGAAAAACACAAGCCACCGCCTTTTTGTTGTCAACAGCCTTTTTCCATGTTTCCGTCACTTTAAGAAGCAACGTTTCACACGAATGACCGTTTCGAAACCCAGACTGGCATTCAGATAGAATGTCGTGACTTTTCAAAAATTTAAAAATTTGCGACTGTGCAACTTTTTCAAACACTTTCGACAGATTACACAATAAGGATATCGGCCGCACTTGATCTACCGATTTTGGCTGACCGCACTTCGGCAGGGCGATTACTTCAGCTTTTTTGAAAATGTCCGGAAATATTTTTTTGATAAAACACTGATTGATCAGGTGAGTCATAGGCTCCACCAGCAGTGGATAAATTTCCTGCAAGAGTTTATGCGGGATACCGTTAGGCCCGGCGCATTTTTTCCTGCTGAGAATGTTCGTAAACGCTTCCGCAACTGTCACAGCAGTTACCTGTTCAAACGCAAACAACAGAGACTCGCTGGCAGCTGGTATCGCCGCCGGCGGGTGGGGGCTTCCGTGTTCTCCCATCTGGGCGAAGTGTTTATTCAATTCATTAGGTTCAAAGCCCACAACAACATTCGGTTTACTTCGATTCAGCATCCGGTTTAATTCCCGCCAAACTGCAGCACCGTTTTTGGAGTTCTGCTCAAAGTAACGTCTTTTGGCTTCTTTGATTTTAAGAGTTACTTCGCGCTTTAAATGTTTAAATTGTCGATTATTACTTTCGTAATCGGAAGTATTTTTCGACAGTTTTTTACGTTTGTACGCGAGATCTTTTTCTTTTAGAAGCCTTTTGATGTCACCTGTTACCCAAGGAGCAGTTTTCTGAGGAACGCGTTTAGAACGTAATGGAAAACACGAATCAACAATTTCGAACAAACCGCAAACAAAGTTCGTTACTTCCGAATCTACGTCTGTAGTCGACGTAATTGACGTATTTCTTGGTAAATTCAAAAACCTTGCCCTTAAACTGATCGATATGCGCCGCTTTCCAGTCTCGAAAATTCGCAGTGCGATGCTGCGGTTTCTTACATGGATAAGCTGCAACAGTTTTACATACACGGTGGTCAGAAATATCAGTGTCTGCTGGAAGACACGGCAAATATAAGCTGGCTGGTCTGCATAGAATGTGGTCAATCTTCGACTGGGATACGTTCAGGATATTATCGGGTTTCTTAAAGTACTGCGCTACTCGAGTGTACCCGATTACATTATCTGCGAGCGAAAAATCTTCAATAGGTGTTTCTAGTTATTAAAAGTTCCATGCCTTGTTTGTCTAAAGTGGGATTTTAACGGCCAAGGTCAAAAAGAGGAAGGAATAAATAATTGAAGGAATGTTTTTGTTCAAAAAGAGGAAGGAATAAATAAAGGAAGGAATTATTTTTGGTCAAAACGAGGAAGGAATAATTGAAGGAAGGAATGTTTTTTTGTGAAAAACATGAAAAAATGTCGATGGTCAAAAAAGGAAGGAAATCTTTGTGTGGCGAAAAACTCAAACGTGGTTCATAGGAAGCAGAAATGGCATTACGGTTTTTGAAAATATATTTTTGGGATAGCGAAGAACACTGAATGCAGGATTGCACCCATTGCAGGCTGTATTTTTCAGAAATACATACTCTGTAAATTCTGTCTCTAATTTCTAAATGCTGCCGGGACTGGGACTACTGCACGGTTTTCGAAAGCATGTATTCGCGTATAAGCGCATTTGAGCGCCGCGTTTTACAGTGTAAAAAGCGGTATTAACTATAAAGCAGCGTTGTATATCCAGGCTCCGTACATTACAATAGTAATTAACAATGATGTTAACAATGTCACTAACTAGTAAAGTAATAATTATAGTATTGTACTCCTATGGTAATTAGTAATTCTAGCGTCATATATTGAGTGTTATTAAATGTTTATGATGCGTTCCACTCAAGCTGGTTAAGATAACTTCTATAATTATGATTGCTCATTAACAAGATGGTCGCAGCGTTTCGTAGCAGTTGCATGTGTTTATGTATCTGACCAAGTTTCTACGACGTACTACCATGCTTCACACGATAGGTGTAAGAGAATTACTAGTTAGTTAGTTAACTAATTAATTAGTATCAAGATTTTGGCTAATTAACTGATGAACGGTATACCTAATAAATTAAACTAATCTGTTAGCTTACTAAATAAATACTCGTATTGAAATTGGACCAGTAAAGTTTTACGTTAAAAACTAGGGTGGCACTATAGCCACCCCAGACCCGCACCCTTTTTTAATTATTAAATTTCTTTTTTAGACACATTGTTTTTTATAGGCACCCCTCAAGTACTGTAAGTGAATTTTTGCACAAAGTACTTATACGACGATACAAGCTGGTAAAAGTACTCGACACGTTAGATGCCTCTAAAATCTCTATGCCTTGGAAATCCATACAACGTCAAATGGCCACAGATATATTATACTCATGAGGCGATCTCCGTTACCGACGTCGCAAACATTCGAAACAAAGCGGAAACTATCGAACGTAGAGGGAGAACCGAAGAAATGTTAAATCCAGTTTTATCTTAAACTAAATTAGCGGAAAAGATCCTAACATTTTCGTTGATATGATTGCTTCCGACGCGGGAAAGGTCACGAACATCACGTTAATTGTAGCAAAAAGTCGTAAGAATCACGACCGAGTAAGTCGTTGGTATACGGTCAACGTCATCTGAAGCAGAAAGCATATGTAAAATTCATGAATTGGTGTACTCTGTAGAATCAAAATGAAAATACCACGCGTTGTCCTAAATAAATTAAAAATTTCAAAAATAAAAAAACGGGTGCCTATAAAAAACAGGGTTAGGGTGTCTCTGTTTAATTAACAGCAGAAAAGGGTGGCTTTAAAAAGCAGGGTGAGAAAGGGGTGGCTATAAAAAAACGGGGGAAAGGGGGTGGCTACAGTGATTTCCTAAAAACTAAGTTGAAAATGTACCGATCCTGCACTTTAAAGTTTAACGATTAAACGGTAAAGAGCAGTAATCTTTGGCGCTTTCTTTCCAGATAGCCCGCTTGAAGCAAATATGTGATGCACAATGGTGTGCAACTATTTAGTATTTCACGACGTTCAAAGTTCAGTTTTTTTCTGCATACTTCCCATATACATTCGGATACAGGCGCCACATCTGTACATGTTTTAACAATGAGCCGAGCTATTGCACGTAAATGCGGAATGGCAGCATCAACTTAAAGGAGGATATCGTTTTTTGAATGTGGGGCTGCCCGGTCAGACGTCAAAGGCAGCCGCCTCCAATGTTATTCTTTGACCAAAAGGCTGATACAGGCTCTGCATGATTCGGCACATCAAAGCGCATTACCGCACTGTACTCCGTATTTATGTTGCCTAAATATTGTTTTTCCTGTTATTTTTTCTCACGATATTCTTAGCACATTAGGGTAAGTACGCTGGTAATTACTTTTGCTCGAAAAATATGTTTAGCTGTATCGCTTACCGCATTACGTACTTCATTTACTATGTTTTAAAACGTACAGACCATCAAGTCTAATTCCAAATCTTTTGACAAATTTTCTTAGCGCATCGCCGCATTTTCCTCTTGTTCTGGACAATCGGAATCTCCGGCCTTTGTGACCGCAAAAATTTCCTTTTTTTTTACCACCGAAATTTCCTTCCTCTTTTTGACCAAAAAACATTCCTTCATTTATTTATTTTTCCCTCTTTTTGACCTTGGCCATTTTAACCGCGAAGCGACCCTGTTTTCACTGCTCTGATAGCGGTCGCTGGTGAAAGCGTTATGACAGTGGTGTGCTCTTGTGCCCATGATCGATCCCATGTGTTGATTTATCACTAAACGACTGCTAACGAAGCAAAGTTAATGTACAGCAAAATTACTGTACCTAATTCACGTGTTATGGTTGTATTATCAATTTATCACTATCAGTACCAAATTCATCATACTCAAATTTTGTCAGTGTCATGGAGTATAATGATTTTATCGCCAACCAACTGGAAAGCGAAGGAATTGCCACGAAATTTGTAAGTGTTTTTGCTCCTCCTCGTGGAGACAGTTTGCGCGGATCGGAATATTAAGGAAGACACCGAAAAAATCCTCCGACCAGAAATTTGACCGACCAATGTTTTCGTACGATAATGGGTCCATAACCGTCCATTAAATGTACTACTGATTCTATTTTGTTAAAGTTAGTAATCTCTCTAAGATGCTAGTGAGTTGTGACTTATCGTTACCGAAATTCGATGAACTGTCTCGGAATTGCGACAGCTGGTCTTGAACGTTTTGTCTACAACCTCGTGCAGGTTACTCCTGATTGTTGTCAATGTTAAACCCATTAAACAAACAAACAAACAAACAATGGTATGGCAACGAGAGATACAACAATCGTTGCGACCACGCCCATAATAAAAGGGAAGTAAAAACCCATTACGAACCGCGACGCAATGCCTTGCAAAGGGCTCCGTGACAAAACCATTCCGCATTAAAATACAGACAAACAAACAGAATTTTTATGAGAAATAAAATCAGCCATAAAATTAGGGACGAATTCACCATAGACCCATAGTAAAACTAGATTAACCAAAATTTGCTAAAATAAATAGCGAGAGCCAGAAAAATGCTCAGCATCCGATTGATAAGAAGCGGCAAGACGCAAGCTCACACCGATGTGAGTAGCTATACACTGGGGTCCGTTATCCGTCCCATGACAACCGGAACGTTGGCAGTTTCGTTCCAAAGGACAAAGAAGAATGGCCGGTCAGCGACAAAGGATCCGCCCCAGTTTAAAGCGGGGGAAAAGTTATACAGTGGCAGTGGAGGCTTCTCTCCGAGCTCATTTATCTCTACAAATAAACAGGCATTAAGAATACGCTGTTCTTTCGACGCAAAAGCTGAATCAGTAGCAACGAGTCCACCACTGCAGGTGGCTAATTCAAACACAATAAAGCCCATTAAATTATCCGTTAACTAGATCTTGCTGTCTAATCTATCTTTATCGACAAAACTTTTATCCGGCGAATTTTTGGAATGACTCTGCCGACAGACATTGTTGCTGCAGGACTGTTTTTTGGATAACTGCTCATGTGCTGACGACATTGCAACCTGAGAAAAATAAGAGCAACGCTTTGAAACATAATCGGCTGGAAAATATTGAGAGAAATCTAAGAAACCCAAGACCGAACTAATACTTAGGCTATCGATCAAAGAAATGGTTTTGGCAAATTTCGGTTGACAATTTCGCCGAAAAAATAATTGTTGATTACTGTCACGTCTTCACAAAGTCATTTATTCACTTAGCTCTTCACAGTCATACTGGCAGCTTATTACGCTGCTGCTGTTATGTTGCTATGTCACATCATCACACCTTCCCCAGTGTGTGAAGCACACTAAAGAAAATGCACGATAACTGAAACATAAAAATTCCAGAATTAACACTGAATTAATCAGAAAACAAATCCAAAATACTCGTATCATGGGTATCTTTCACTGCTTCCTTCTTTTTCCGTTTCTTCTCCCGCTTCATTTGGCTGCGAGTCTTAATCTGTCCAGTGATCAAGGACGTTTCCATTTCCGTCGCGGGTACACATCCAACTGGCGCGTGATCACCGTTCAGCTGTTCATAACTGGCCCCGTCCGTGTTACCGCCGTCGCTGACTGCCACCACGTGTTGCTGAACGTCGCAGTCTTCTGCCATTTCGATCGCCGCAAGTTCTTCCACGTTCCGGTTCTGCTCCGGCTGATATCGCCGATGCTCCACCGGTCTCCAGTATCGCGGAGTCACTGCTGTGCTCCTTCGTGCCATTTCGTCCACCTTCGTGTGCAAGGCAGCCAATTCGCCTAGCACAGTATCCAGGACCGCATCTCCGTCCTTGCTGCATCTCCAGGGGCGGCTGCTCGCTCGCCTGGTGTAACTAGGCTGATGTTTAACCATACAGTCAAAATCACTATCCACATTAACCTGTAGCACATCGAACTCTTCTTCTATCAGATTGGTGCGCCGTGCACCATCCCTTTGCTGCTCTTTCTCCTTTGGATCGGCGCGACAGGCCCTGGCAATGTGGCCTAACTTACCACAATTGCCGCACCGCAATTCTTTTGCCCAGCATTCGGCCTTGCGGTGGTCGCGCTCTCCGCATCCGTAACATCCGCCATTGTATGGCCACCGTGTCGCCTGGCTTCCGCCTTCATGGTCTCTCTCGGCACTGCCGCTTCTGCCGCGGCGGTTGTCGCTTTGACCTTCTCGCCCTTTCGGCCTCTCACCACGGCCACCGGGTCCATGACCTTTATCCGGGCCACGCCCATCGCGGACTCTCGCCACATCCACCGTCTCCGTGGTCTTCTTTGTCTCTCGGGCGAGCTCGTACAGCTCGCAAATCTCCAAGCACTCCTCCAACTTGGTGCGTGTCTTTGACATCAGGTGCAGCCTGGTGTTTTCGTTCACCAGTCCATTGGTGAATGCAGCCATCATGTTCTGCTCCAGGACTGTCGCAGGGAACCCAACCACAGTCGCCTTCCGGCGCAGTCTATTGGAGAACTCCAGGAGCGTCTCCCCAGGTTCCTGCTTTATCCTAAAGTACAACGCCCACTCCGTCTCCTTCAGCGTTTTCTTCACAAACGCTTGCTCCAGTTTATCTGCCAGCTGGCCAGCGGTGAAATCGTCCGGACTGCCAGGCAGGCACATGGAAATAAGGATCTCCAGCGCCTCCACGCCTAAGGCGTCCAGCAACACCGCTTTTTGCTCGGCCAGGTCCGTGACCTTGTGCAGTGCTACATAATTTTTGTAGCGATACTGCCAAGACCGCCAGGTCATTGCGGCTGGCTCAAATCTCATCAGTCCACCAGTGTCCTCCTTTCTTCCTCCCGACAGCATGGCTGTACCACTTCCCGAAGGCATAACCACGCTGTTCGTAAACACTTTATCACTCTTAAACGGCAATGAGCTCGATTCCTCACGCCAGATTGTCACGTCTTCACAAAGTCATTTATTCACTTAGCTCTTCACAGTCATACTGGCAGCTTATTACGCTGCTGCTGTTATGTTGCTATGTCACATCATCACAATTACTGACAGTAATTTGTCGGTCAGCAAGTAGCGTGAATCATCAGCACTTCGGCTATCACTGTCGCGAGCTTAACGAAGGGTATAGAGGTTGGCGGAAGGAATATTCATCCAGAAACCAATAGAACACCAAATGCAAAAACAGTAAATATTCAATGAATAGAACAGAAAAATCAATAACAAATGACTAATTAACAATAAAGTGTAAATAGGTATTAAATAAATTCATAACATGGATTCAAATGAGAAAAAAACACTGCGTAGTACAGGCCCGTCCCTGTACTATGTCCAAATGACTTTACTACCGGATACACGGTTCCACTTTCGGCCGGCTCACGGTTCCGTTCGGTCAGTCCAGGTCAGGTAAGTTGATCCGGTCGGCTTAGTCTGGTCGGCTCGAATCCGGTTCGGCTCAGGTCGGGTCCCGGGTAAGGTCGGCTCCGGTTCGGTCAGAGGTCGACCTATTGGGTCAACGCACTGTCGCGAAAGATCCAGGGTCCAACGCGGAAACGGGTAAATTCCGCAAATTCTTCAGCAGGGAAAGGTCACGTTCTGGGGAAATTTGGGCAGGAGTTTGGGGCATCGGTACGCTCGTGACCCTGCAAACACATAAATACGCTGCTCCGGCGGGGATAATCCACTGCTCCGTCCGGGAAAGGTCGCCGTCCCAGGAAATACGGGCAGTGCTGTGGTGGGGGGGAATTCTTCGGCGTGGTGCTGGTGGTCGATCCGGCCGTAGGGATCGGAGTTGGTGCTGCTGGTCGCGGTGTATCCGTTCTGGTTTCCCGCTGAATCCAGGCCGCGTTCGCCATCGGCATCGCAGGAGACGATTCTCGCTCCGCGGCATCATCTCCATTGCCTTCTGGTGGAGGCATCCAACGCGTTCCGCATCGGGGTGCATTCTGCACGGCAGGTGGCTTATCCCGGGGGGCTACGGATGGAGCTCCATACCGGGGGTTGCATCGGCAGCGATCTGGTCCACAGCTCAGAGGTGGCCCGTGAGCGGGGCAAGCGCGCTGTGGGAACACGATCGTCACCGTGATCTGCTACCATGTTACGTGGGGCCTTATGGGCGCCCACGTACCTTCGACGGCGAACCAGCGGCGAACCCGGATTGAGGCTTTAATGCCGAAATCTAACTTGCGCACCGTGGCGAAGCAAACACCAGACTAATGAGATCGGATCCTACAGCCAGCGCAGCTGTGCTGTAGATCCGTCAAAACTTTACAGAAATGTGCGGAGTGGAAATCCCCAGAAACAGCGAGACACAACATCGAATGGCCAATCATGAAGGCGGAGCTATCGGCCTTCACACTGCTCCTCTTCAAATTTTGTATGAAAACGTACCCTGCCACGCAGACCGTTTTTATATCGAACCAGGTTTCCATCCGTTATTTCTAATTTCAAAATTTTTTTATATAACTTTTTGAAATCCGATCTAAAATTGCAGAAACGTTGTGCAAATCTATTTTGGTGTAAAAACGATATTTATGCTAATGCGCGTTGCCGTGCGAAATTCGGAAGAGAACGTAATCGAGATCGATCGTCCGTCCGTATCAAGACTATTTGTAAAGAGTTGTAATATTTCTAATATAAATCCAAAAAAATATTTGTTGTAAGACCAGCAGGGGAAAACTTGTGTAATGGTCCTTATGGCTGAATAATTCGCTGATGCATACGGCGGAATCGAGCAATCGAGAGTATCAAAGTACTGCATGTAAATAACAATGAATGATGTAGTATATGGTTACGTACTAAGGAATAAATCTACACTTACCGAGAGAAATCCCTTGTTTGAACTCATCGATTTTGCATGCCGCATTGCTCTCAAACATGCGGCGGTAAGCTGATTCGGACTCTTCGAACAGTTGCTGCAGACCGATATCCGTGGCGCAAGATTTCAAGTCAACACCGCATCGGATACGAAATTTCGGCAAAAATAATTGGAGTTGATACGGAAGTCTCCATACACACTTCTGCCGCCAAGCCAACAAATTGCCGATGGTCATTTTTTCCTGCAGCTTCTCAGTTCCCCCGGAATTCCAGTACGGCAAGATGATCATGACACTGAATTTTCTCCCCGCTAAATCCAAAATAACCACCTGCGGATTATCGTCCTCACACTCAAACACATTGAAATTGCGCGTCGTTAGCAACTCATGATGCATGAAGTCCACGCTTTTCTCCACGTTGTTCGGGCAATGAAAAATTCTTGACTTCGTTAGTAATGGATTGAAGGGCATCTCCCAGCGCGGCGATATTTGTTCTATATTCAATAAAATCATTCCCGTATCGCGTGGCACTTCTGTGTGGTAGTTTCTCAAGCTTCCGTCCGTTTTCTCGGTAACGAATCGATCCATTACGAATGCAGCTGCGTCGGGAGACATTCGGAACGGAGTTCGGACAAAACTAATGTCCACTGCCGTCGCTAAATAAGGCAACACCGGAAAGCGCGAATCATTATCATAAAACACCGCATTTACACAGTTCAGCGCCGCTTCCAAGTTCACCACCTTCAGAGAACTGGCAACGGCATCGTAATTTGTTCCGTCGGGACACAGAAACTGCGTCAGCGCCGCGTGAAGATTCCCGTCTGTCCCGGGCAGGATAGCCGCTAAGGCCGTTTTCATCCCATGTGGGCTGAACGCCGTGTTTTCATCCGGATTCGAAGAACTCTGTAATACCGAGTGGAACACATCCATCGCCAATGCGTTTTCGGGTGTCACACTAAAGTCGGTGGTGAACGGGTCGGGCGCTTGTAGGTCTCCAAACTTATAAACGCGCTTTTCCTCCTTCCGATGGTTGCGCAACGAGTGGGAACCATGCGATGACTTTTGTGACCGACAACACCAAAAATTTTCAAAACTGCGCCGAAATTCGCGCCATTCCGATGAAAGCGTCTTCTTATTCAGGCGTTTCAAAGCGGATTTACTGTTGAAGTCCATTGTACGGATAGTCCAACGAAATAAAAACGCAGGAGAATATTTCGAAATACAGAATTTGATCGCGCAGGCTTGTTGTCCTTGTAATCAGCAACAAATAGCATTAGCTGACAAGTACTCACCTGTTTTGTCGGCTAGACAGTACGGTTTCGAGTACAAGTATAATTATAATATCAAGCTTATTAAGAAAGATGCGGCATAATACTTTGCAAGACAGTATTGATTGTAGATTTTCAGAGAAGCACACAACAAAAAATAAACTAGTGAAGCGCAGATCAATAACAGTTCACTGTTATTGGTTTTGAACTGTTATTGGTTTATGCACTGCAAGCAGTTCCAAACTGCATGCTAGTGCCGCATACGGTTTGCTAAAGCCACTCACCGATCAATAACAACGTGCTTCCACTGCCGGCGCCGGGTGATTACTCCATGACTGTATAGTACTCGTATTTCTTATAATTATACTCGTACATATACTCGTCGTATTATGCTCGTACATATCGTACTATTAGCAAACTTCAGTGCTTATTAAAAGCAGTCTTGCTCACGGTATGTCAGTCCGAGTACTCGTATGCAACTCACAGTCACCGCAGTATGCCGCAGTCCCAGTGCCTTCGGATATGCTATGATTCATAGCTAACGTTATAGCGTTACAACGATGATGACGAAATCACTACACATGCCACTTCTGTTGATGGTGGCTTAATTTTGCGTAGCCTAGCTTCTGTCATCGTACGTCAGCTGTTTCTTACCCAACGGGTTTTTCTGTACGGCTAAACTTAAGAAAAATTATAATCAATATAGAATTTTATGAAATTAATGATACGATCGCAGTACAATGGGTGGCCGGTACATATTACATAGCCCTCGTAAACACTTGATTACGGCCTACAAGATCGGCGCATTTTTTCCTCGTTTAAGCGCTGAGAGGGGAGTTAGATTACGACAAAATTCTTTTTACCCGTGTGTCATAATGATCGCTCCAACCGCCCATAAGGGCGAACACATTGCCCCTGCATAGACATTTTTATCTGACATAGAGTCTCTGACTGAAGAATTGCCCATATTTCTGGATTTCTACAACAAGGCGATGAACAGGCCGGCCGGCATTGCGCCCATCGCGATTCCGAGGCGGGACGATGCCGAGTTCTCTGTATCATCCCGACCAGTACTGCCAAATACAAAACTCGAAACTGCCGATTCCCGTTATTTCACTTAGAAACAATGATTGCGCAAAGAACGCACTACACAAATCTCCAATAAAAAAAGGTAAAAAAGCAGTACGGTGCAATCGTTTTCCAATAAAAAAATTTTAAAATACTGCTTTTGATTTTCATGAATTGAAATTTTTTTTATGTGGGTGGGCGTTTCGGGATGCGATAACTGATAGCGCAGGTGAATGTTGCTTGTGTAAAATCGTGTAGCAAAGTGCTTCCAGTGCGACAAAAAATGAAGACAATTTCCGTTGAAATGACTGTTTGCAGGATTTGGTTGTTAACGACTTGCACACAACTCGCGCTACTCGTACTTGATTGCTGACGGATTGTAACCGTTTCGGGCCAACCGCACTCCGTCGTCGTATTCCACAAAGTGCACCGTAATCTTGTTTTGCTGGGCGATGCTGGCGGAAATGCCATCGAAAAGGGCGTGATTTTTGGCGGTACCAGGTGTCCCCAATCCACCGGCACCGGTATCACCGTCTCTTTATCGGCACCGGCGTACACGATGATGTCCCTATAGCTGTTCTTCTGGGCATTGAACACCTTGGCGGGTTCTCCGGTGTCGGCAGAATTTCCTGCTAAACATGCGCGTCAAATAACCTGCATTAAATCATTTATTACTCGAGTCTGGAAGGCTAGTGGTGGGCATGGTGTGTCATCCGTCAGCAAATGCAATCGTCTTCCATCCCCTTTTTTTGCACAAAATTAACCTGAGATCTCGCAACCTTAGGCACAGACACAGTTTAGCGTCAGTAAAATCGCAATTTCGATGCTTTCTCAGCTTAATGTATCGCTTCACTTTTAATCACGGTGTTACATGTTTTCTTGATGTTTGAACTGTCTATAGATCCTGATAAGGAGTGATTCCTTGTATCTGTAGACATTAAAATTTAAGCAATTAAACCTAAACCTAGACCTAAATAAAATGTCGCCATTAGGTTGTGCTCCTTCCAGCGTGGTGTGACATCTATATTGACTGCGTCGTAAGCGCTCTTCGGCTTAGCCACGATGAGATAGCTCTACAAGAGGTAATAACATGTAATAACCGTTCCGTAACAAGAAGACAGGTGCGGCTGCTTTTTTCGCTTCTTTTTTATCTGAAACGGCGGATAACTCGGATTCTTAAAATGTATTGGCATGTTGAATTCAGAGTCGTTCGCAAAAGCTCCCAGCGTCTGAACCATTTGAAGATATAAAAAACGTTCATTCTTTAAAAAAGAAGGTATAAACAGCTACATTAGAAAGCCGGTAGCCCATTAGAATTACGGCCATATTGCGGTATTGTTGCCTTATTGTTGGAGTTGGCGTTTGCCAGCCACGGATTGGCAGTTATTGGGAATACGGTAAATAGCCTGACAAACAGTGGAATTATAGTCTTGGTAAACCTGGATCACGCCGCTGCTCGGCTGCAGCAGTGTGGTCAGACTAAATACACACAGAAAGCACTGAATGACCGATGAAGCCATCGTATCCATCCTTGGACAGAAGCCTAATAAGTTAAAAATCAATCACGGACCAGCGGCGATGTGCTTGACTGTTCGGTCTGCTTAATAATTGTTAAAAGCACTAACTGACAAGCAAAAACCGTTTACTTATGCAGTACGCATGTACTACTTTTTCTCTTTCACTTCTGCAAAAAACACTGTTGTTATTTACTGCCATGTAAAAGTGCCGGTATTACTGAGCACCGAAAAAAGCAACAAACGTATACCCACAGGCGCATTGTTCTCTGACCGTCTGATTCAATGCTTCCTACAATATTCATACTCTGCTAACAAAAAGAATAATTTCATACATACTACTATTTTGCGCCGGTGCTTCTGATTGGTCAAAAGCAAGTTGCTTTTGACCATTAGGAGAATTCGCAAACGGTGCACAGATAACGGCAATTAATTTCCCATACGGCGGGAGAAGCTTTTGCCTTGATTAACTATTAAAGCAAATTGAGTCATTCGCCGCAAAGATTACAAACCCAAAGGCTGTGTAAAGCAAGCTGAAAAACAGGGCCAAGAGGCAAAGGTCAACCGACCAGCCAAATCGGTTGCGTGTTTAAAAGAGGCTTTCTTGCATTTTACACGTGGTTCCGGCTAATAAAAATTTTTTAACCTGCACCAAACATGCGGTGCTAACAGCATCACACAGAGGACTGATTCGTGCGAGTTTGCGTTACGTTTATCCTGCCGCGAATTGTTAAACGCTGAACGTCTTGATTTTCAGAGTTATGGGCGAACGACACACTGGACAGTCGTTTAGTTGTTGTGAGCAGCGCTCACAAGCCACCACATGTCCACACGGAGCAAAAGCCATGATCTTCGGCAGCTCCATACAGATGCGGCAGTTGTTGGAATCGGGTGTTTCGGCGGTGCGCACTGTAACAAAAATTTTGCCCATGTATTAGTTTGTGTAGCATATCAAAAATAAATGCTTAAACCGCGTGACGGACGCGAGTTCATCGCCACCACTGCAGAAGTAGGGAGGCTACTGGCCCTGCATGGACCCGTCTTGGCACCCACAGACGATTCAACGAAAAGTTCCCCAGTCTTTTAGTTCTGACAGAAAGCATTAGCACGACACATGGTGGGATGGTTAATTTTGTTGTTGCTCCACATTTTGTTAATTTTGTTGTTGCTCCACACTCCACATTTATGCACTCGCTCAATCGGCAAACCATACTTACTGAGTTCCATGGCATCCTGTAAACGGTTGGTTGAGCTGTACGCCAGCACTAAGGCTACATTGATGGAGACGTCGGCATGATGTTCTCCGGCGTTCTCCAGAAATCGTATCAACAAATCCCATGCGGCTGGAAAACAACTGGCTCTTTACAGTGCGTCATACTAACCCCTTAGCTTAGGCATTGTTGCTATTATCACCCAGATAGGCGCATACGCGGCAAGGGGCGGGGGATATCTTTATTAAATACGGGTAGATTTCGAAGCGTATTACGTTCCTACGTGTTATTACGTTGCGTGAGGCAGGAGAACTTACAAAAAGAAGGGTTCGGAGCGCACGCGAGAGCATACCAGCAGATAGTAATCGAAACGTCCGGCCTCCAGAAAGTAGTGCAATGAGTCGGCAATCTGATCCTCCAACAGGCAGCGCTCGCCCGCAAGAAACAACAACTCTGGATCGCCGCTTTTATCAGCCACTTCCCGGATGAACTCCCTGCTGATGTTTTTGTTTACTGAGAACACCTAAAAATTAAATGTTGTATATTTCTACTTCTACCCTAGTTCATAATTCTATGCATCTGTAATAGCCTACACCGTACGCTGAAGGATGTGCATAAAAAAATAGCAGAATAAATTGTAGGCGCGCTCACAGACTCTGTACTCTAAAACAGTAATCATCATATTATTATTTTCAGTTAGAAAGGCAGCCGAAACTGAATTTAAAGCAGTGCCGAGCGCGCCACGTTTCATGATAATAATAGTTATCACAACAACGTCGGGCTCACTTGCGCTAATTCCTTCCAGCAGCCGGCTTGAAGACAAATGTCTTTAGCCATTTCCAACAGTCCGATATGAGCCAGCGCCGGCACCACGACTAGGGGATTGTACGCGTAGAGCTGCTGCCCAAATACTTGTAGAATCTCCCCTTCGGTCATTGTATCGCGGAATGCTAAGATGCAGCGCAGAGAGTACAGTTCCAGAAGCCTTAAAACATTGCAAAAACGATTGGTTTACTGACATGGTCACTGGTTATTGAAATGCCGCATATTTACTTTCTCTGTTGTACAGTCCACAAGTCAACCTGCAGTAATTGCTGAATGAGGTTTTGTGTTTCTTGTTGCAGATCCGGCGTTTTCCTGGCCATTACGTGAACTAGCAGGGTTAACTGGTGGAAAATATCACTCGGCCACGGCGCTGTTTGCGGGTTAGTGCGGCCAGTGTTCAGCACCGGCACGGCGTCTATGGCTTCCAGCAGGCGCCAACGATTATCATTAGTCGGGCACAGAGCGTCCTCCCAGAGCCCTTCGCTGCGCTGCTTTAGTAAGTAGCACAGCTGACGCGCAAATTGCTGTGCTTTGCTAGATACCTGCAACGGGCAACCAGTGCTGGGAATAGTTTCTGTCTGTCCAAATTCTTGATGGTCAAGCATGTAGTAAACTCAATCAGGCTGCACAAGTACTAAGTTCTACGCTGCTCTCGGTACCCTGATAAAGTCTTCGCGGCGATTGTGTGCTTCGTAAATCAGCAGAGCGCTGTCGAAATCCCCACAGCTCTCGCGTTCCATGCAAACATGCTTGACAAGCTCCGGGCTGCAGTTCCTGAAAAAAAAAGCGGATTTCAACCGTTCGTAATGTTGCAAATGTAAAGCTGGAGGTGCCGCATTTCTCACGCCGAAACGGAAAATGGCGGCTACCTTAACAACGACAGAAGTTTATCAGGTGTGCCTTCCTCCACGTAATAATGGGCAAGATCGAGGCAAACTGCTTCGTCCTTGACGCCATTAGTAACCAGATATTCCAGAAAGTTCATCAGCGCAGGCGTTCTACAATAGATATAAATTTATTGAAAATATCGTTACTACGTTATTGTACCGGGATGGGTTGTAAACTGACGTGCCGGTTTCTTCCATCAAGGTATACAGCTTCCAGAATATCGCACAAATGCAGTTGTAGCATGGTCGGTGGAATATGCAGGTGGAACATGGCATCAAATGCCACGAAGTCGTCGTTGTCGTCAAAGAGCTCCATCAGTGTCAATAGAAGTTGCTTTCTCCGTTCCTGCCACGAAATTTCTGTGAATATGTGCCAGCATATGCAAGCACGTACTCACGAAATTAAATAATTTATGCGCAGCCTTATATGCACATGCACGTTATTATTATTCCCAGCCCATAAGCAAGCCCATCATTTCTAGCGCATTGCACAAGTTAACCAGGTGCTGTCTGAACCTTTACGGTACTCTCGTAACTACGGACAAAGCTTGTACAGTGTGAAACTGAACCTTTACTTGTGGTGGAAAACGCTCTAGTAAGGATCCCAGGTATACAGGAATTCTGTTGGCGATGCGATGGAACACCAATCGCAGGAGCTGGTCGTATTTGGTGCCAACATCCTCCAAGAGTGTGATGAACTGACCGGACAAACAACTTTGTACACAAAGAAAATCTAGCACGGATTCCGGGTCGCTCATTTCGCTCTGCGCGATTAATTCTCGGGCTTCTTCTAGTTGACCGGCGCAGACGGCCCCTGGAAAAAGTGCTTAACGGGTTTTTTACATGTAATTAATAAAGATTTGCACGGCGGTATGCACAGTGCGTTTGTTGGCAGCATTTTTCATTTTACCTGAATATATTCACACCAGTCGTCTGTGGATCTCCAGTTTGGATGTGCTTTATAAAACTCAGTCAGGAAATCTGCATTCAAGTTTTGGTTAAAGTTTTTGGCCGATGAAAGACTTCTTTTATTTTTTTAAACCGAGATTCTAGTTTAAGCAAAGTGCTCACACAGAAAATACCTTCCATGTCCGTCGAAAAAGATTGGTTTTGATCAGTTCTGCTCTGTTGCCATTCCTGGTATGCCATAAATTTCCGCACGCTCTGCGTTTTCGAGATGACGATTTCATAGAACTCTTTAGATTCCACAGCATCGGCAAAATTCAAGCCGACCATGTGGTTGTCGGCTTCGAACATGTGGAACACCGTCTGACAACGGCGATAATCCATCTCAAGGTAGATTTCGTGTTCGAACAGCAGGCAAAACCTCTAGAAAAGGTAGAGCTTCTTGTTGGCAACCCGCCAAGTTGCGCTTGGTTCATTTAATGACTTGTATTTCACCTCGATATCGTAGACTTGAATTAAGAACGTCTTCTGTGCGTGGTTCTGGACAAAGCAGGCCGCCCCGCATCCGGCTATCCGCCACTGGTCGGGCTGGGAATTGTCCGTAACCAGCCACTGCACCACGGCTGTCGATAAGCTCTGCAAATGAGGATCGGGATAACTAATTCTGCCACAGTACGCCGATTTTACAACATGCAAATCGAGGAGTACCTCGCAGCGCGGAGGAAGCAACCCTATCACAATGTCATTCTCCAGATCACTGAGCAGTCGCGAGCGCCGGCTCTTCTCCTGCAACGGAGAGGGCATGGCTACTGCAAATCACTTTCTTTACGGTAAATAAATACAGATATATGATGATACTCCGTAGACGACGGCGTGTACATAACGTGTGAGTGAAAATCGGAACGTGCTTTTACATAAGGGTAATCTGACACAAGAAGACACAGCGTGAGTAGATAATAGCATCATTTTTAGTCACTTAAGTTGATAAGATAACGGAAAGCATTGCCGTTGTGGCGTTTCCGGTTTCTGAGATAGACTGATTACAATTATTATTGTTAACGCCCTTACGTGGCCTTTGTTACACAATTGCACAATATCGTACGGTCAGTTGTTAACGAATATTTCCATGTGTGAGAAACTATTACAGTAATATTGGCGGAAAATAAACCGAATTAGTTTGATGATCCAACATCAGGTTGTATGCGAAACGCAACGTCATTATAAGTTGAGTTCGACAGCAAGCGTCAACAGAAGCAGGCGATCACTCACACAGCAACTAAAGCGTGGCGCAATGAAGATTATGCGTCAACTCTTAAAAACGACAGAATTTCTTGCCAGTAATATATTTTATTTTACGGATATCTAGCGACAGGAATGAGCTAACTGAGGCAACCTTTTAAAGTTAATAAAAAAATTTCCATAACAGCAGGATCAGCAGAAATACAGGCACGTGCAAGCACGTGAAACTCAATGCAGGATAATGACCTTTTCCGGGATAGATCGTGCGGCCAATGTACGTTTCACGAGGTTTCACCAGTTTTATTGAAGGTTCGACTATCCAGATCCACCTCCATTTTGCCCAGCAGCGCCCGTACTCCTTGTCGACAGTCCTTGCTCATTGCTAAGAACATAATCTAAACACAGCGAAAATTAACATTAATCTGAATCACTAGCACCCATATAGCCCAGGACCTGTATGTGAGTACTACGTTAAAATTTATTTGCAATTTACCGGTGTGGATAATTGGCCAGTGTGAATGAGGGTGCGGAAATATAGCGGCACGGTGGGATTCTGGTGTGCGGCCTGTCCATAGAACCACAACGCCATTGGGTAGGTTAAGAAGGCGATGCAGTGCACTACTGCCACGCTGAAGAGGATCTGCGCCAATCGGATGCGTCGCTGGTGCGTGTCGCGTTCCTGTCCGGTCAGCGGCGCTCCCGGCTTCTCGCTGGGAACCAAGGGCAGGCGGACGGCGCGGGTGCGCATCTTATTGCGCCACATCTTGAGGAACATGAGCATGTAGGCCAGCGCCGTGATGGACAGCGGGACGTACACGCCGAAGATCTGCTCCAGCAGGAAGCCGGTGTTCTTCAGCGCGCGACACTGCTTCAGCGGGTACATGGCCGCGGTGGTGTTCTTGCCGGCGTAAAAGTACAGGTGGCATGAGAAGCCGATCATCCAAACGAGAGCGATCTGTAAATTGACAAAAACTCTTATATTTTATAACTGTACAGTACCTTGTTAAGAAACTTAATAATAAATTATTTCAAGCACGTTAAAAATTGCAATGTAAATATCCGGTAAATAATTTTCTAATAATTGGTTTTGTATTGCAGTACGCCCACGGCCCACCCACTCAAAGGTCATGATGGAGGCATCAGTTGCAAAGGCGCAAGAATATACTGTGCAGAATAGTCGATAAACGCTTCAAGATTTAATTTCTTCTATCTAAATTATGGTTGTAACCTATATTTTTTAAGTTAATAGAAAAAGAATTACGATCAGTGTTATTTACCTGTACCAGCTGCACCCGTCCGGACGACCACTTCTGATACTGCTGCGGACTGGTGGCGAAGATGGCCAGAAAGCGGTTGAGCCCTAGCATACACAGCCCCCACGTGCTGGCAGTCACCGTGGACATAAAAACGAAATTGTGATGCAGACAGAACGTTTCGTTGAAGAAGTAGGAACGACCATTGGTCTCGGCAACGTAGACGCCGAGGCAGGCCGCCGGCAGATGGAAGCCGAGCAGCATGGACTCGGTGATGGTCTGGTTGATGATGAGCCAACGCGAGGCGCGGAATAACTTGGGCTGCTGCAGGATGACGGCCAGAAAGAGGAGGAACGTGCCCGTGCCGATGGCGCAGATTATCAGAGTCACACTGAGAAAGATCTCAAAGTCCACGCGGTAGATGGGGAAGAGGGAGGTTGGGGGCGGCAAAAAGGAGGCATTAGTGTTGTTCATAATCATTACTATAAGAAGTCTCCAAGGCAGAGCAAGAACTGGCGCAGTAGCTGCAAAGACTGTGACTGCTGTTAGCAGCAAAAGTCTTCTTCACATACTAAGCAAAATAATTTTTACGGCAATTATATAAAATATGAAAGTTCCTTTCACCGCCGAAAGGTCACGACCGTCGCTGAAAATTCCGTGAAAGCCTGTTTACTGCGCCAATGCCATAAGGCCACCTGTGTCCTAGCAGACTGCAGCGGAGAATAACAAGGTCAACAACAGCGCGACGGTGAAATATATCTGACGAAGAATAATCCTCGCGGCGATTATTAACATAATGCCGCTGATGTAGCCGAAAGACGAATTACGCATTAAAACCGATTGAACGGTTCCTTCCTACTGTCCCTTCAATGACATCAGTCTTTCTGAGATGTGACAATATCGGAAAACAGGAGCGTCACGGGACGGCTAGCTATGGGGAAACTGGGTCTGGATTTCATCGTGGGCAGGTGTCTTAAAGGTCATGCACGTGATTTATCTATCAGATTGATCGGCCGGAAATGTCACTTTCCGGTCACTGAAAAGTGAAGCTTATGCTGGTAGCTCGGCGTGAGAAACCAAAAATAGCTAGTGATTAATACTCGTATGTGCTTGTTATGGCACATTATACTTTATAGTGCCTAATATATAGCGCGCAAAAACTTCCGTTCCGTCTTTTAAATCAATGGTAATATTAAAGTTTGAAACATCACGCTTAAAATTAAGTTGTCTCGGAGCAACCACAATTTCAATTAAAACCAACCAAAGCAACCATGCATGTAGCGCACTGAAAATCTGAAATAAATGGAAATTGGTATAAATATATTCTTCGGCACACACGACTCGTGAGTCGTGACGCCACACACCGATCTTCATCCATCCATTGCCGGACAACGTACAGCAAAAAAGCGCTGTTCGGTTTTTACTGACTTTCTTCCCGCTTTTAAATGTCAATTCTCTGTGAAGCATATTAGCCTTCTAAACGCCTTACTGGTTCCTGTAGTGCAACATAGTATCACGCTGATTCTCAATAATATTTATAATATTTATAATATTTTAAAGTTTTTTAATATTGAATCTTCGGGGGAATGACAATATCCCGACTAGGCTGCCAACTGCCAGTCTGGCACGGGCTTTTAAAACTGGCAAACAGCAAATGTACAGCTAGTTAAAAATATTATTATCGTATTATTGTGATTAAGCTCCATGCTTCTTAATTGATTAACTTTAATTAAAATTACTATCGATTATGATAAAATCCTCGCGCACCCTCCCCGGGGAGGGAGCATCTAGCTGGACGTTGGAGCAGCGTGCCGTAGCGGTCTGTCTTGCGTTGAGTGACCGCAGTGACCAGTGCGCTGCACCTGCCTATTCCGCACAAGAGAGCAGACCGAGACCGAAGCGCAGCGCAGACCAAGCCGGATTTGGCATTGTCAGCGGCTATTTTTATCAGTCTGCCTGCACCCTTCACCGGCCGCGTCGTCACTCTGTCTGCGGCCGTGTCATACAGCACACAGTGAACACACACAGCCGCTGCACTTGTGCCTTCTCTCGCTTCTACAACCAGAACGGTGCACGTGCTTCGGCATTCTGATCAACTGCATTCTGAAGGCGATAAGAAGCCACAGCGCAACGGCGGTTCCACAAAATTAACCACATTTGCAATATTGCTCGAGTAACGCTTCTCCATTGCAACGCTGGATTAACTGCACGTTTTTCCATTGGATTTCTTCTGGGTCAACAGTCGCGAGTAGCGGGAACGATGGCGGATTAAGTGTATATTTCTGTCGTGGGCGCATCTGAATCATCGGATCACTGGTTGACGCGGCTGGGTAAAATGCCAGGAGTTCCCCGCGGGAATCTCCAGACAACGGCCGCCACGGGACGCTATCCCTGCTGTAATCTGGCCCGTGCGTTGGCGCTGGTGTATGTCGTCACCGCGGTGTTGTTTGTCGCGCAAGTTACAGGTATTTAACATTTCTACGATTTTGCAATGGTGAAAATTTACTTGTACACCGTTTAAATTTTTCGCATTAATTTATTTTAATTTAATTTGCAATCAGAGCAGGTAACCCATTCCCGGCTCGGTTGACAATCTAGCATGGGATTTTAAACCTGGCTGAACTGAACAACAGAGTTAAAGTACCTCAAGTCCTAGAATTACAGTATTATTCTCATTAAAATTAGAAAAAAATACTTTAACTTAATGTTATACTAAAAAGCATTACTAAAAAATTAGCGTATCTTAATTTCGTAAATAAAAAAATAAAAACCTATGAAGTTCACAAATACTGTTGTTCTAATAATATACAGTACATATACGAGTACTCGTATATCGCTTGTAAATTGTACAGAAACTGCAGAAAATTTTATAATTTCGCTTTTTTCAAAAAGTACGTTATTGGGAATTTACTTACTACTTTTCTGTTAGTCAGTAGCATTGACAATGTGCAAGAGAATTTGTGGTGACATTAGTCTGCATTTTTTGCCAGCAAATGGCTAAGTTTAAACCGTTTGACATGATAATGGGCAAGCTTTAAAGTGCAGATAAAAATTTATCAGCGACATAAATCACATGAAGCATCTGTAACGGTAAACAGGAAGTTGGATAGCGTGTCACGTTCAAAGGCATTTAAAAGAGAATTACTCGTGCCAGGGCAGCGAAAATGCACTGCATGTTCCCTGGATTGCAAACAATACGTCAGCCGCTGATCCATAACGTAGCACATATAGAAATCAATCCCGAATTATTTTTTAAATATCTCAAAATTATTAATTGTTCTGTAGAATAATAAAACTAATTTTTGTCTTTATATTATTTGCGTTGGTGTATATTTTTATTTCTTTTGGGAAAGCATAGTGCCAATAATGCCATAGAGCTGCTATGAAAACATAGAAAATACTGTTGTAAGAGAAGGTTGCGAAGGAAGACTAAATAATGCTGATTTTGTGGGGTTTTTGTGTGTGCAGCGTTGTGCAGTTGGGAAGAGTGCCGGGAGCTGGAGGAGAACGGGCCGATTGACGAGGCCGACCTGTGGCTGGACAACGCGGCCGTCGCGCTGGAGCTCTGCCAGGCGCTGGACAGCCACGCCAACTGTCTCAAGGGCTCCGCCAGAAAATGCCGCGGTAAGCTGGGGAAGCATTGCGTGTCCTACCCCATTAATTCTTATATTTGCAAGGCGTCTGTTTTACCAACGCATTATTTTATTAAAAAAATGAACATTATAAAAAAAAGCTGAACATTAATGTGCTGAATGAACACACACACATAACTTTTTAGCATCAACTTTTTTCGGCAAACAAATGCCGGATTCAGCTTTTTCGTCACCGAATTACTTTTAGTAGCACTTCCCTAATTAGAGTCGTTCTAGTGTGTCCAGTGGCACGCGTCATCTTCACCTCATTTAAAAAAATCACACCGTACTTTGCGGTTGCTTTATTCGGCTGGCTGTTTCGAAAACGGCTCGGTTTACATACTTAGCAGATTCATTAATCGGGCGGCACACAGAACAAGCTGGCAAAAATACGACTATTTTCCGGTACGTTTCGAAATATAATAATTTCTACCAAAATTCACGCAGCTAATAAAATTGTTGTTAAAAAAACGTTGTGGCTTTTTATGTGAAATTTTGAAGAGTGTTTTTGCCTGCCTTTTTTATGAGTGTTTCGAGGCTTGAGGATTGAGTCTAGTTTCGAGGATTGAGTATGTTCGTAGAAAATGTCAAAAGTTATGAGAATCATTGGCATCATACACACCACGAATAACAAGATAAAAAGCAGATTTTGGAGAGAAGGAAAAAGGGGCAGAAAGGGAGAGAGAGAAAGCAGTAAAAGCCATAAAAGCGGCGCTGATGCGGCGTGAACCGGTTTCCCAGGGCGAAGAGAAAGAGAGGGACAATAACGCTGCCCGACGGCCGATTGCCGGCAAACAATTACACAGGTGTGAAATGTCCCTCGTCTCTCTCTCGCCCGGCGCGCTCTATCACCATGCAATGCATGCATCGCAGCGATATCCTTTCTTTCTATCGGAGCGCCGTGTATCGCGCTAATTAATCACAATTAATTCATTAGATCTCCGTGTTGATTCGGCCGCACGGGATATTTGTTCCCGCAGCGATGGCGGAAAATAATTTATTTGTTCCTGCGAATGTTTGCACATCCATTGACAGGTTACGGCTATTCAACGCCCCGTCGCGTAATGCGCGGTTCAGGGTAAACATTTGCGCGGAAACCGCGCTATTGATGCCGGTTAGAAAATAGAGCACATTCCGCTGTCAAAAGCGAGATTAATGGAATTTAATTCAGGGCAGTGCGGAGCACGCTGGAATGCTGTTGAAGAAACAAAAGATTTTTGGCGTCTTTATGGGTCATTTGAAAGCGGTTAGGGGTGTTTGTTCTTAAGCAGGGAAAATATGTTTTCCATGCATTACGATCGGATTAATAAATATTGGAACGTTTTGTATTGGTTCTCGGTCAAACCTGAGATTTATTAGCAATTTGCTCTTTTGTTGATTTTCTTTGTAGATCACCTGACACTTATTCTTTGAATTCCACTTAAAATAATTGTTAGGTTTTAATTCATAACAGCCCAAAGTTAATAATAATAATTTATTGGTTTAAGGAATCACACTAAATATTCCTTCGTAAAATATTTTTGCCCGTTTGTTAGATGTGGTTTTCATGCTAATCCGGGTGTGAGTATACCGGAAATCGCAGTTTGTTTAATTTGGAAAACGCGTTTCCGTCGTCGCTGCAACTTCTGCAATTATAATAATTTAGCAAAAATACTACAGTAATTAATATTGGATGATTCGGATTTTAACTTTATTGATAGGCCAATTAAGATTATTGGAAATATTTAACCAGTGAATAAAGCTTTAATAACCGTACATTAACTGAGCACTACAACAAAATTCATCACAACAACACTTCCTCTCTGCTGTCCTTCCTCGTTGTATTTGGATAGATAACCGCTGTCTAAAAAACTCTGTTGCCCGCCACTTTCTCTAAAAAAACTCTCTAAAGAGTTCTATTTTAATTTTTTTATTTAGGAAATCTCCACTATTATTCGTACGTGAAGGGCTTGTCGCGGGTGATGGAGCGGAAGAACTGCTCGGCGCTGCTGGCCGCCGATGCCGACTCGCCCCTGTCCCCCTCTAACCAGGAGCGGGCGGTCGGCCTGCGAGCGGAGACCACAACGCCGCCCATCGCCATCCCCGCCTTCCACGGCTGCCACACCATGAATTTGCTGGATAACGTGGCCTACTGCGCGCTCTTCGGAGATCCCCATTTAGTCACCAACGAAGGCCGCTTTCAGACGTGCCGGATTTACGGAGCGTACCCGCTCATTGAAAACCGGCATCTAGCAAGTATGAACCAAAATAATTCGAAATAAAAAAACATGAACTAATTTCGTCTCCAGCTGACCGGAAAATCATTTCGATTTTCGCCATCAGTACTCCTTTAATTTAAAAATTTGAAGCACTAAATGGAAAAAACTTTTTAGATTATTTTCCTGGCAGGGATGAAGAGGTTACTTACTTTACCAGTGAAATGAAAATAACAGTAAACCTGCGTAATATTGTATGATTTTAAAAGTTGAAAATGAAGAAATTCAGGTTAACCGCTAGTAGCCACTAGCCAGTACCAACTCGGCAACTCGTACAAAAAATCCACAAAATGGCTTCCCTTATTAAAAAGTACTAGTACATTATTGACTAAAATTTAGGAAAACGGAATAAAATAATCCGTTCACAGTAAATAAAAAATTGTTTACTTGGAAAACGATCCAAAAATTATTTGAAATAAACTGTTAGTTATTTGAATTATGCACTTATTTGAAAAAAGCTGTTGACAGGAAAAATCTAAGAACTGACATAAATGATTCGCAAAGAATAATTTACAAAAATTACTTGGCAAAACATATCTTTCACAAGTCAATTTCGCCAAAATTAATTGACCGTAAATTCTGCAAAACTTTTTTTTCAAAAATTAATCTTTCAAGAAAATTAATTTACAATAAACTGACCGGTGTGTTGCGCGTTGCAGTCCAAGTGAGCAGCCAGCCGGTGGGCCGGTCCTCCTCCCTCAGCCCGGTGACCTCCATCTCGCGCATCACCATCATCATCAAGGCCTCCGAGTGCTCGGAGGAGCGCAAGACCTACGAGGCCAGCGTGGCCTCATTGCCGTCCTTCTTCACGGACGCCACCTCCGACAGCGACTCCAGCAAGATCCTGCCGCACGTGCCCGACCACCACGTGGAGCTGCGCGTCCTCCACCTCAAGACCATCATCTTCATCCGCCGGGTGGGCGACTACTTGTCCGTGGCGGTGCGGCTGCCGGCGTCGCTGCTGACCGAGGAGTCGGCGGTGCCGTACCAGCTGTGCTCGGGGGGGTGTCCCTTCGGGGAGGAGCTGCAGCGGGGCCGGGCACTGGGTGGGCAGCCGCTAAGGGCTGTGCAGGAAGCTGAAGAGGTAATTGTTATACCCATGGCTAAGCGCTGACATAAACGTCCATCTATAGATCCATAAATCGCTACGTCTTTCTTTCGAGACAATTAACGCCTAATTTGAGATTAATGTTTTGCAGTGATTAAAAATTTCACAAAAATAATTTTGAATGTTAATGCGCCATAAGTGGTTCGGAAAAATGTTCGAGTAGTCTGAGATTCAAAAACATTTGTGAAATTTGATACTGTGACATTGTAGAAAATCTTATGAAGATCAACAACAGTAGGACGTTGGCTATTTTTTGATTTTCTGAATTTAAAGTACAGTACTGAAGAAATTAAATGCTTATTTGAAGCGAAATTATAGTTAATTATAATTATGCTTTTAATTTGTTTTGTCATTGATCAGTTTTTATGTACACATGTAATGGCGTACTTATGTTAAGCACTATCTCCATGTTATTTGGGAAATTCTGTATTTGATTGTATTTACTGAGCGAGGCTTGCTTCCTACATATTTCCAATAAACAATAAATATATCGATTTTAGTTTTTATTAAAATTTTATGTCTTCTTTGGAAAGATCTTCCTAATCAACAGACATTTGATTATACTAAAAGCAAGCCGGCACAGGGCCCTTACAGTATTTTACCAATTTGTTTATTGTTTTCAAAAGTTTTTTGCTGAATTTCCGAACTGCCATGCGATCCATAAAATATGAGATATTTGTACATAACAAACTACTCGTATTTGTAGATAAGTAGATAACAGACTACCGTGTATCAAACTACAAAGTGTTAAGCGAAAATTTATCGATTTATCAGTATTTCCATTAAACTATCAAATTTACGAGTTGCCAAAATACCATGATCGTTAAAATGTTTTAAAAGTATGAACTGAACTTCGGGTTTGAAACAAGCGAAACACGGTTTATATTTTTATTCATGGAAAGCTGTTTATTTGAGCTCGGTACTCGCTCGCTGACAGTCGCTGTCATATACCGCTTATTTGAAGGTCTATCGCAAATCTGCAAATTAAGCGTGTGTTATGCGCCGTGCGCAGTTTTTTGAGAGAATAACTTTTAAGTGGCCAATCAGCATGGTCAGACATTTAGTAACTTATTTTTGTACAACATTTTTATGCACTTTCAGTCATGCCCATATAGCGGCCAAAAAGGTCAAATTAAATCTCACCATAATAAAAATTATCAATTATCGGGAGTTCGGTACCTGTATATTTTAAGGTCGCTGTAATTGTATTGCATAGAATGACGATATATTACAAATTTACAATTTGAAGATAAAAATCAGTTAAACACATTTATCAGTAATGTTTTATTTATTTATTTAAATGGTATTTTAGTACCTGTGCAGACTATACAAAAATAATAAAATTACCAATTTCATTGTAATGAGAGCCTAAGAAACATAATATTTTGTAGCAATAGTGTCTGGTTAGAATTGTGAAATTTTTGGATATTGTACTAACTTTCCTGACGAATTGCGTTAGGTGTGCCGGATGCAAAATATGAGCGGGCCGTTCCTGGAGGCCTGCCTATTCGACATGGCGGTGACGGGGGACGTGAACAGCGTCATCAGCGCCAAGGAGGCGCAGGCCGACTGGGAGCGCCTGGCGCCGGTGGACAGCCGGACGCCCGGGGGCGGGGGCGGGGGTAGCAGCGCCGGCTGGGCCAGCGACGACGCCGCGGTCGCCGGCCGCGCGCTGGCCGCCCTCAATGACGCCGGGACGCTGCACGCCACGGGCTGGCGGCTCCTTCTTGTCCTACTCTTCACCAAACTATTCACCCGCGACAGGCGATAGTGCGGGCTTTTCTGTACAAAACACTAATGGAGATTTTTATTTTTTGTTCCTTGTTGACGTCGTTCTACTGGGTATGGAAATTGGCGGAATATTTCTGTTGAGAGATCTGTTGGCGGTTTATGCGTACAGATAGTACATTGGGGGCTATTAGAAAACAGTATTAAAAATCATTTTACTTTCAAGACAAAAAGTACAATATGTTGATAGCCATATAAAATAAATCAAGGGAAAATTAACGCAGTTATCAAATCACAGTAATTTATTGATTGTTATTGTACTCAACTGACATATGTTAGAAAACCGGCGGGAAATCATTTTGGCTTTTAAACAACGATACGAACTCCGTTGATTCCCAAGTACATTGTAGCGTGAGAAATTAATTTATATCATTTGAGTCAATTTCGAAGTACTGAATTTTGCAGTAGCTAGTCTAAAAAGAAAGAATGTTTTTTTGATGACGATACAAATTGGTGAATTTTTTTTCGAGTAGCAAAGCCCGTAAATGGGCATTTCAAAGGAGAAAATTAGTGAGCTAAATCACTGATATGATTTAAAGGTTTTTAATTATCGATTTTTATTTGATTTTTTTATTTAGATTTATGACGCTGCCAACTTTACTCAAAGTCAAAGATAATAAAGTAATATCATTTAAAGAATTTCTTGACTGCGTAGTACTGTTTAAAAGCAGTATTAAATTCGCGTTTTAATATCTTTCAAGCGCCGACACAATATCCTTTGATTCCCTTAAATTGTGGGAAAAGGACCGCGCATTCACCATCCGGCAGTTTTGAAAATTTTTTCGTATAAAAAGATAGAAGCGTTTAGAATCAGTGCAGAATCAAAATAGTGATTTGCCGGTATACGCGCCGTTCACATTCATTTTTCGAGCAATTCGCATCGACAGATCAGTTGTTACACACTTCTCTGCGGTTTCGTACATGGCAGTCTAGTTATAGCATCCGTTCTCAAGGGGCGCTTCCCCGGGCACAAACAGCGCCAGGATCTTGACGTACATCTTATAGCGGTTATGCGGCTGCTCGTTCCAGCTGCCGTTGCACTCCAGTCCTCCGTTAATGGCCTTGACGGTGGCGCCGAACTTCCCCTCGGCTACGCCCGGCTGGCCGTGCACCCGCGACGCCCAGAACCAGAAGGCGGTGTCCCAGGCGATCTGGTCGTTCTTGGCCACCTGCTCGGGATTGCGCGCCAACCGGTCATCCCCGTACAGCGCCATGGACGCGTCCTTGTAGTTGTACACATGGCTCAACATAATATACCCGCGTCCGTGGAAGTTCTTGCCGGGATACGCCGGGTCCGTCGACACGATGGGCACGTACTCCTCCTTGGCGCGCAGCCCGTCCGACTCGTGGAGGATGTTGGCCAGGAACATGGCCAGCTCGCGTTTCGTGGTGATCTTGCCGTTGAAGGCGCGTTTGTTGATGTTCTCGTACTGCTCGTCCGAGGGCGCGGGGTAGCCGTTGGCGGTCACTGCCTGCCGGAACTGCTCCTTGGTGATCAGGTAGCCGGCGGAGGTGCCGCTGGAGGGGGCTTTGGTGGTGGCGGCCGGGGCAGGTTTTCTTGGGGTGGTGGTGGGTTTGGGTGGGGCGGTGGTCTTGCCGCCCGCAGGGGCGCCACCGGAGCCTTTCACGCAGAAGCCGAAGGCGTTAGCGCGTAAATCACATGTCAAGCCGGTGCTGCAGCACGGGATGTTGTTTGAGCAGCCTTCGCCTTCGGTCTGGCACGCGCGGACCACCGCGATCTGCAGTTACAGTAAAGTACTTTCACTACTTGTACTCGTAACAATTTAAGTGGTACATAATAAGAATGATTCTTATATTTTTTACAATTGTAATTACAAAAAATCTCTGGCCCATTTTATTAAAGCGCTCAATGTAAAAAAAATCAATGTAAAGATTAAGCGCTTCATTTCGTTAAAATAACAAAGTTATAATTAAATTAAAATGAGCGAATATATGTAAATACACAAACAATTCAGCATCAGTTGATGAACACTGCAAAAAACACAAATACAGATAGCAGCGTCTTCTGAAATTAGGCTACGTGTTGCATCGCTCATTTACGTTTTTCGAGTAAAATGGTTTTCGGTAAATCTCAGTCGATAATTTTATGTATCCGCAATCGCCTATGAGCGTTAGTATCGGCTTTTGATAATAATAGCAAAAAGCAAACTAACCAAACATCCGGCCAGGATAGAATACGATAAGATACCCATGTTGCGCTGTATGTATCCGAACCGGGAATAACTGGATAAAGTATTTCGAACGCCTATTCCGAATGGTCGACTGACGAAACGCCGCAGTCTCATCGTTTTGCTTATGTATCAAGTGTCTGGTCGGTCGTTCACGCCAGACAGGCTCGACGACCACAAACGCTGCATTGGCGGTTTTCCCACTGACAACTTTCCCATTTCAACACGTTCTTCATTCAAAAAGTGTTGAATATTCAAAATCAATGTAGCCACTTGCTTAACGAGTACCCTGTTTTGGGTATGCACTTGGGAAATGCTGGGCATGCGGTCTTACTTGACGGTCACGCGTTTGCATCGGCGAATATCTTCTGAAGAAGTCATTAGGTTTTGGCAAAACGGTGACTGTAGCCAGACTGCCCATCCAGATGACTCACGTAACCACGCCCTTATTTAGAGTCGAAAAACACTATATATAAAAATAAAACTAGTAAATCAGCTGGCGCATGTGCAGAATCGCAACCAATAACGATCGGTTTTGACAGACAGAAACAGAAACCTAAAACTGTGCACGTCATTTACCACAACGGCGTGATTCACTAGACTGGATATAAGGCATACGAGTACAGAGTACACTATACAGACTGTACATAAAATAATTTATGAAGAACTCATGGGTCGATATAATATTGTGGGCACTACAAAAAAATTAAATAGAATTAGCGGTGCTAATTCCGGTTAAGACAGCGGAGAAGGATGAAAGGCGGATTGGAGAGATGTGGTTGGGTGCTGGTGGGGCGCTTGGGCAGGGGTCAGTTGTAGCACTGTATGTTATGTATGTAGTTGTGCGATTGATGTAGCTGTGTGCTGTGTCTGAAAGTTAGTCTGTGGTTGGTCGAATTGTGTTTGGGAATTTCTTCCCACCCACCCTCCCTTTTCCTTATGGAAGGGGGGTTGTTTTGGAAGTGTGTACTTAATGGATCCGCTGTGACGGTTACCTTTTGTGGAGATGACCTATTGGATCCGCTGCGTCGGTTACATATGTCATCGATACTACGCGCTAACCCCCAAACTACCATTAAAGTCATTGCTGAGGTGTTCGCGGAGTCTGTCTTAAGGGAAGTGGCCCGGTACATGGTACCAAATTCGTGTACATGCACGAAATCTTTCACTTTCGCGCACTCCCAAATCCTTTTTTCTCTTGTTTTATGACAATCTGTAGTCAAATGATTTGTATACACAGGCCTGAAAACCGTTTGCGCGCGCAACATCCGGTTCGCGAATTATGGCTGTTAGAAAATTCCAAAAAGTTTAAATGCATTCAGGTGTACCAAAAATCTCATTATGGACCGATCTCTTTCAGATTTTGCACGTAAATGCACATAGCCACGAAGAACGTTTTTACACCGATCCACTGTTCTAGCATGTTCTTCAAATTTTAAAATGAATTTCAAAAATTTTAAAATTTGAAAAAAATCGTGGAAGTTTGGATCGGTGTAAAAACGATCTTCATGGCCATGTGCATTTACATGCAAAATTTGAAGGAGATCGGTCCATAATGAGACTTTTGGTACACCTGAAAGCATTTAAACTTTTGGGAATTTTCTTACAGCCATAACTCCCGAACCGGATGTATCGCGCACAAACGGTTTTCACACCAGTGTATACAAATGATCTGGCTACAGAATGCCACAAAACGAAACAAAAATGTGTTTGGGAGTGCGCGAGAATGAAAGTTTGCGTGCATGTACACGAATTTGGGTACCATGTACCGGGCCACTTCCCTTAATGCATTGTTATTGTAATATGGAATACCAAGCTTATTACTGACTTGTCAGTGATTTTTATCCCATACGGTCGGGGTCACGGCAATTCGCTACTCTGCCATTTTCCAGTTTATCAGCTGTCTCGATTAGGCGTATACTGTATCAGTATCTTTCCGTTCTCTTGTCACAGCTTTCCCGGTTCCCATAACCGTCGCTACCGTTGAGCTGTCACAACGATCCTTCGGAGGCGGAACATGATCGGTAATTGTGATGGTGTTTTTTGAGACAGTCGCTTGCTCGTTTCAGCGGCTCGTACCGTTACTAGAAGAAGAAAAAGGAGAGACTGCGGCAGCGAAAAGTCGGTGTAACTCATTTTTTCGTTTGATTTTCGATGATTAAGAAACCGGGAAATCAGACAGTCGCAGCGACGTCAGTTGAAATGGCCTGTGCTGTCAATCGACGTACTGTGTTTGACAAACTTCCATGGTTACCGGTGACCTTTGAGAGATGTCTAATTAATACTCCGCTTTCGGCTGGGGAAGGGTTAGAAAAGCGGCGGGATGTTTCCGAAGCGTTAGTTCATACAGCGGTTTTCGAGAGCGTTCCGCTGTACGCGATGAGTGAATGGGCGATGGACTATAGCTGGACAACCGAAAGACCGTACGGGTTGTTTCTTGGGTTATTTTCAGGTTTCCTAGTTTTTCTTACGTTTCCTTAGCCGCCGCCTTCGTGACGGTTGACGTAGCGCGGTCGGCATTGTGTCTGTCGCCAAAGTGTTTGTCGACGTCCGACAAATTGTCGGTGAGACGAAATTGACATAATATTAACAATTACTGCACGTACAGATCTGTACGTTATACCATACTTTTCATTTCACCATACGTCTTCACCACACCATACGACGAGCACAGTCTAAATGCAATCCTATTATACGGTAGGTGTTGTTGAAAAGAAGCCGTTAATTGAAAAGTTTCATGGGAATTTTGACAAGCATAATGCTACGACAATTGATGGTCGCCAGAAACAACGACTATAACAGAAACACAATGTCATGACAGTTTCTATCGCATGGTGTGATCGGTAGCCTCGGCCCAGGCCCTGGCTCTGGCTCTACAAAAAAGTTGCTACATTAAGTTATCAAGGGACACACACAAACTGTATGAAAGGCAAACGAAAGCCAGCGACATTCGCTCCTTCCAGTGTCTATGGGTGTCAAACGCTTATGTCGGGGTTATTTCCGTAACCTAGCCGCCGTTCCATCCCCAGCGCAGAGTCGGCTTTTTCACAGCGGTCCCATTTCCTGGTGAAAAAAATGTTTGTAGATAAAAATGATGTTGATCACGTCATTTACGAATTGGTCACTACTTGCAAATACTGAAAAAGAACAGGCTTTATAATGTTCTCTCTGCAATCTCTAAAAAAACTGTATGCTCCTAAAATTAAAAAAAAAACAACTTTATATTTCAAGACAGTAGCGCCTTGACGTCATGCATTACTTTAGTGACGTCACTACCTCTTCGGTGCTACAAAATTACAGATCCATCTTGATGCTTTGATACTCTATAACCTTGCAAAAATTGAATGATAAAAGTGCGTGAAAACGTGGAGATGCTGAAAATCATGTTATAGCTCTCCTTTACAAAGCGCGTCGTTCAGTAACATCACTACGTCTTTGTCCAAAAAATAAAAACGTTGTACGAAAATTCAATTAGTGCCGATTCTACGAATGGTGGTTTGCGAAGGAACAAATGGAAGGGCAGCGAGCGAAATGTACCGGCAGGTAGCGTACTGAGCGCTCACTGTAAAACTTTACAAATTGGCTCATAATTAATTCAGTGTCTCGTATACCAATAAGTACGCGTATGTTGTCGTACCTGGTAATGGCCCGCCCAGAGGAGAGCTGGGCTGATGGCAGCGTTTGCGATGGTAGCGTTTTGCACTGTGTAGCTTTTTGCAAGTGCCGGTGAAAAGAATAGTCATGAAATACAATACTACAGCAAGCGCGGGAATCCTCATCTCGTTGATTGTGTTATAGCTGCAAATGCAAGTTAAGCTTTGTCGGAAGAGATGTTGCAACTCGCAGTAGCAGTTGGATACATCAACTTATGTACTGGTGCTTCGAGTTAATGTGTTATTATAAAGCTGCAAGCCAACGCTTAATGATTAATCATATTGCTTTGGCAACTTCAACGCGATCATTCAGCGAGGGACTGCAGGAAGTCGCACACTGGCCATGGTGTTACATAATGCACACGCGGCAACGGAGTGACAATTTGCTGGCCAACCACATTACGTAGATAACGCTAGAGGCATGGCCTTGGCATACATAGTTCTGGTTGCCGTGCAAAGAAATGTACGAGCGGGAAGTAAAGAAAGTGCCCACCGATACTTTCCGGCTAATTTAGTGAAAGTGCTACTCAACGATTAGGTTTCCTTAATTCCATTTAGCGAAATAAAATATAACCGAGGGGCGCGTTACTGATTACTGGCGTAATTGTCCCTATAATAATTTGCGGCTAAATGCAATAATTATTGTGTTTGCCACAAATAAGCTGGACCAATGCAAAGCGCTTCTGGTAATCTGGAAATTTTAGTCATAGTACTGTTAGTGTTCTATCGGAATTATTAACAGCAGAAATTTGGGAGCTTTGGGTTAATTCTTTCGAAGTTTAGAAATGCATTCATAACCGTTGGATTACTCGTAAATATGAAATCATTGTCAAAATTGATGAGCGAACACAAAATCAATCTAACAGCCACAAAAGAAGCATTGCATTAGGCTCAAAATTCAGTTATGAAGATTTCAGCGAACGAAATCTGTGACACACTCTTAAGAAAATCGATCTTTGAACCTTAACAAACGTAAAATAACTGCACAGCAATGGTGCATCACATATCTGCATCGAGCGGGCAATTTTGGAAGCGCAAAAACGTGCGACACTTTGTTTACGGTGTTCTTTCATTCCAGTCTGTAACTTTACCTTGCAGTTTGCACCTTACTGATGCCTATATATGTGTTGCCTACTGAATTCAATGCTTCAAATTAATAAAAAAATTTCCTGTAATTAACACTTAATTTAAAACAGCTTATTAACGCTACCAGTTGCAAGTTAATAAACGCCAGCCGGTCAGCGAATTAATCACTATTTTGTACACCATTTATCCTCAAAATTTTTAATTTTGATGAACCCGTTATTCATTAATTAATTTTAATTAGACATTTTAACACGTCGAGGGTAACTTATAAGTTATGTTATAGACTTATTCGCCCTACGCGCACTTTCTGGTTTACGCTACCAGAATGTGTTTGGATGGGCAATTAACACTAATTATAATGTTATTAATTAGTTATTAACATTGTGCACATAGCAGTGTACACGTTACCCGATAGGCGTTAGCAGTACTTATTAATGGATAATTATTGAGGTGTACGATTACGGCATATCGCAGTGAAATGTAAGCATTAAAATGTGTGCACATGAGTTTGCATGAGAAATATCCAAATTGCCGACTTTGACGCTCGAATAAGCTACTCTCGAGTAGCTTTTTCTAGAGCAACATTTGTGAATATTTGGGGCGTGGATACAAACGTGCAAAAGACACATCATCGCACTGATCGCAGTATGGACCAGTTACCAGCGCTTATCTTATGTCGTGCCATACCCAGCTTTTGCAGAATTATCACAATTGCCAGAATTTACTAAATTTCCGGTCTATTTTGAACCAGACTATTATAAATTTAACAAGCTGTGGAAACTGGCAGTCGAATTAAAGAGACATTTCATTTAAAATCAGCCGAGGCTGGTGCTGTTCCCAAGATGGTTGCCGCGTTTCCACGTTCGATTCGATGCTGAACCGCTGCCGCAGATATTCTGTTGCAAGTATCTCACCTCTCTCTTGACGAATCATCTTGCCCACTTTACGGATTAGCTGCGATGCTCCCGGTCCGATGGCCGTAACGTCTCAACGGCCACCGCACGGAACAGATAGTCCTGCGTGATGTTCTGATACTTGCCGATTTTCTTCCATTCGGCTTGTGCCGCTGCTGCGTCGGCTTGCGTGGATGATGCTGCGATATGTGATGGGGCAATCGTTCACAGACATTTCACATCTCATGTCAACATTTTGCCGCGTTCCTATGACACCCAGCTTACTCCGTCAGGACGTTTACCGCTGGTTTGTGATATACGCAAAAGGCTCAATCGAGTTCAGTTTCAATGGTGGCAGCGAAGGTCGATTAAGCGTGGCGTTTAGGGAAGTGATATCAAATTCGTGTACACGCGCGAAATCTTTCGCTTTCGCGCACTCCCAAACCCAGTTTTCTCTGGTTTGATGACATTTCGTAGCCAAATGATTTGTTTACACGAGCGTGTAACCGTTTTTGCGCGCAAAATCGGGTTCGAGAGTTATGGCTGACAGAAAATTCCAAAAAGTTCAAATGCATTCTGGTGTACCAAAAGTCTCATTATGGACCGATCTCTTTCAGATTTTGCACATAACTGCAAATAACTACGACGAACGTTTTTACGCTGATCCACTGTTCTAGCATGTTCTTCGAATTTTAAAATGAATTTCAGAATTTCAAAATTGATTTTAATATTCGAAAAAAATCACGAAAGCCTGGATCGGTGTAAAAATGATCTTCATGGCCATGTGCATTTACATGCAAAATTTTAAGGAGATCGTTCCATAATGAGACTTTTGGTACACAGCAATGCATTTAAACGTTTTGTAATTTCTAACCGCCATAACTATAGAACCGGATGTTGCGCGCACAAACGGTTCTCACACCAGTGTATACAAATCATCTGGCTACAGAATATGTCATATAACAAGAGAAAAAAGGCTTTGGGGGTGCGCGAAAGTGAAAGATTGCACGTACACAAATTTGGTACCATACCGGGCCACTTCCCTTAAGCTGCTGTGTCTTGACTTCCGGCTCCGGCATTTCCTACAGCTCAAGCCATGGTAGCCTCGTGCGTCCACCTTTTCACTGCAAATGCATCGGTGCGAAGTGACGATTGGTGTTCCTAGACGCAGGGCGCAGGCCAGCAGAAATTGTTAATGCTGAGAAGTTTAGAAGATTTCCCAGTGATGCAGCTGGTAGTGCATCCAGCCATGCTCCGTTGTCCTTGGTGTTAACACCTAAAAGCCGTGCTTGGCTAAAAATGTCAGACCTGCCCATTTCAGAAAGCATCTTCACGGAAGTTTAGATGACCGGTTCATCCCAAATTTTCGGGCTTCCACAGCTGAAAGATCAACTTCTGTCAAACGCTGCCACTCAGGCTCAGCGTTGCCGCAGTACATTTCCGGGTCGAAGTCGGTAATTTTGGTACATTGTACGTTATTTCTTAATAATCGCGGATAAAGCGGGTACACACAACGCTGCAGATACGTTATGTAATGGTACGTTATGCAATAGTTCTCTTAGTCGCACATACAGGAAACAACGGTACACGTAAAACACTTTTAGGAAATCAACTGGTTCGTACACACGCAGAGTGTGCGTGCACGAGTGTAAACAGTAGTCGCGTGTTTAATACTCGTAAATCACAGGTCGTTGCTTAAGCGCCAGAGATTATGGCAGCGCGGAAGTTCGATCGGTGAACGAGGAACAAACGTTGGTGAAATGATTACATAATTTTTCTCGTGGCTAAATAGTCATCATAGATAGGAAAATGAACTTACGGAAGATCAATCATCAATAGTTCAATGGAACTTACGGAAGATCAACAATGTCGGAAAATACTGCCAGTCTGCAGCTGTTGAACCAACGGTCGACTACTTCGTAGTCGCGCGAAGAGCCATCTGAAAGGGCCGAAAATATGGATGCGTTTTATACGAGTACCGTTATTAAAAAGTGTTAGACACACTGGGAGGACCTTGCTGGCGTGAATATTCTTTAGTGCAGAGAAATTTTTCAGCATTAGAAAAAAAAATTTATGAAAACACAAATTTAAAATGGGTGCCCATAAAAACCGGCATCAGGGTGGGTTCAGTTAAATAAAAAACAAAAGGTTACCTATAATTAACGGGGTACGTAAAAAGGTGGCTATATAAAACCGGATTAAATAGGGTTTGCCAGAGTCAATTTATTCGTTTCCTAATATTAAATAAAACACTACCCTTACGTCGAATATACCAGCTAAACATAATGACTACGAGCAATACCGTAATTAACAAATTTTTTGAACATTTTTTTATTTTTTAAACAGTATTTTTCTGAGGAGTCAACATGTTTCAAACAATTGCGTATTCTGTTTTTTTTTCAATCGTTTTCCCATCCACATTACGAAATACCATTTCCCAACAATTATATTGATTCCCATTACCAATACCATCACGATTACCAATACTAATTCCCATTACCAATTCCCAAAACCCATTCCCAGGGTTTATTAATACCCCGCAGCCAAATCCCTGAGTAACCAAGCCCGCCCAATACCGCAGTTATAACACCGCAGAAGGCATGATCAGCCAGCAGCAGTCATGCATTCTGAGAACAGTGAACAAATTATCTAAATTTGCTCCCGATAAAGCTGCTCGCTGAACGGAGCCGCGGTTCAACCCTGGATTTCTATACTGATCCGCTGGCGGCTTGACGGTTTCACAGCTCAGTGTTGCGACGGGAAGAGTAAGAGCTTGCACGATGCCGCTGAGGATGCAAATTTGCACTGGCAGAGATGCTTCGTATACCATCCGTGCCACGGTCATGATCATAGGCAGTCCTAGGGAATTTGCCAGTATGTGTTTAGCTGAGAACTCAGGGGACCATCGGTGACGATTCTCCCCCTCATAGCTGCACGGTGTGTTGACATAGTTCTTCATACGCATGGAAAGCGGAAAATCCAGGACCCGAAGTTTCTAGTCTCTTCCGGTTAACATTAATGCCAGTAATATTACGCGCTTCAACTAGGCCGTGTACATTAAGAAATTGGTGACCTTTCGGAGTGGAACGCAGAAGAGCCATGAAGTGCGGGAAGGTTCTGGAAATACTGCTAAGCCTTTGCTGTGGTGTGCCTCCGCTAACAAGCAAACATTCAGCATGGGTACTGTACCCTTTGGCCATTTCTGTTTTTCTGAATATGCGCGGGCTGGCGCTTTTGGAGGACGCATGGCGCTCGGCAAAGGTAAAATCAACGCTCGAATTTGGGAGCTGCGTCTTCAAAAGCCTGATCTCGATCCAGGCATGGTTTCTACACTTTCTGATTGTCAAGGAACTGCTTACGAAAAAGGATATTGTGGACCGATTTCACGCTGTTGTCTGCAGTCATAATCCCCGGCTGAGAAGCGTCTGGTTATATATCGGATCCGGTGTGAGTTTCCTAGCTGTTTTCGCCTTTTCCGTGACAGAGCTAAGCTTGATACTTACGGATCGTGAGCAGCCGTTCCAGCCGGAGCAGATAATCCCCTGCCTGCTTCTGCCAAACTCTACCATGAACTGCACAGAAAAGGAAGAGCTGGCGATTCTGATGATTTTTAATACGTACCAATATTTCCTGACAAATACAATCCCTATCTCCTGTAGCGTGTTAGTGGTCCTCATGGGAATCGGCTTTCGTAAAATTACCACCGATTTGGAACGCATGTGCGAAGCCATCTTCGCAAACCAACCGCTGCCCAACAACCACCCAGGTCTGATAGATCGCTTCCAATTCCGATGCCAAATGGAGTTTGCAAGAATCGCTACCAGAATATATAAGTGGTTTATGATCTTTACTGCAAGCTATTCCGCCACAGCAACACTCGGGCTCCTGCTCCGATACTTTGAAGGACAGCATCTGGCAGCTTACGATTTCACTTTCCCGACGGCGCTAGTAACAACGCACGTCATTTTGCTTGGCGCAGTTACATTCTGCCACTGGCAGGTGACCTTTAACCATAATCATATTACTGGTTCTCCTGTAAAGCTGTATAGCTGTGTCTAAGTCTGTACAAACTGTTTGTTCTTGCAGCTCATACAAATTAAGAATCGGCCCAGAGAACTGGCAACTGCACAACGCTTCGTATCTTGCGCGGAGGTCCGGCAGTTGTGCGACCAGTTCCTTGATTACCTAACCAACGATGATGTGGTTGCGGACATCGCCGGGCAATTAGCGTTCATTAGTTGGGAATCCACCCTCACGGTACGCGGAGCGAAGCAGTGGCTTCGGCAACTCATTTATGTTGATTTATATTTCAAACACTATACCGCTGTGCAAGATGCGCAACCACCCACGGTCTGCTGTTCATTCATTTAACTTTAACTGAACGTTGAAGACCCTTCAAGGGTGGCCGTTAAGACAAGCGTGCAAGGGACTGTTCCAATGGCTGAACCTGCATACGTGTGTTATCGAAGCGGCTAATTTGCTAGTCGTACGTAATACGAGTTCGCTACACATTCCCTTCCAGTGAATTCTAGCTGACACACAATTTTAAACAAGTGCAGCCAGTGTGCTTTCAAGCGGCTATTTTGTGCTCTTGCGAACATCCACGCTCATAGGACCAGGGTAGTGGAAGTTGTACTGCATTGTACAGCAGCAGGACATAGTTTTATAACGGCGTGGCAGCGTACTTAAAACTGTACGTCTAGACCAACATCTATAAAATAATAGTTGTTAACAGCTTACGGCACCACGCTGCAAGTGAAACTCCTTTTGCCGTGACAAGTTGAAACAACTGCAATTTTGGTCTGCTTTCGTTCTTCTAGAGTCTGGCTTCTGGCGCGGCCTATCTTATTTTGATACTGCAGAGCAAGGATGATGATGTAAGCACTGCCGAAATCAAGATGATGCTGCTTAACATCTCGGTGAATGTGATGGAGCTGATGGGCAAAGTTTGCCTTCCAAATGCCAAACCGGTATGATTTATGATCTAGCACTAATTGTCTTCAATTTTCAAAAAATCAAGCTATGTATTGTACTTTTAATAGCATTTTCCTTTAACAAATAAGTTTTTTAATAATGGTACAGGCTGTACCGTTGTATACCGTACAGCAAAGGAAACTTGTTGCGGCCGTTAATCCTTCGCATTCTGCTACACAGTGCAACCCAAGGGTACACGAGCAGAATTGCCATTAAGGGTTCTTAATGAAACTGTTTGTACTCTGTACAGGGTTATGCGTTGTTGACTGCGTAGCGAGGATATCATCGTCATCACGAAGAACACTTCTGCTGCTGCGAACATGCTGTTCGTGCAAATACAATGTATGTACTGCTAACTTTTGCTGACGCATAGCTCTATGCTCGGGAATGTTGCGCTCGATGTAGGAAGTCCCTCAAGGACGGTTGAATCGGCATTTTTGCTCAGTACGGTACGAGCGCGCTTCGCCTCACACGCTTCCAGCGCAGATGCTTAAAATTTCTTTTTCCTCCGATGCTAATATTTGCTTGTTTGATCTGTGTTCCGGATATGCCTTACTTCATTCATGCTTGTTAGTCCCAGAATAAGCGATAAACGCCGGTTGGCAGAGACCTGGATAATGTGATGGAACCGTATGGTACCGTGATCTCAAACTCAGTCTACAGCATTTCACATTGTGGTAGATCAGTGCTTATCATAATGGGCTTACTTAGTTATTAAGGGAAGTGGCCCGGTACATGGTACCAAAATCGCGTACATGCCCGAAATCTTTCACTTTCGCGCACTCCCAAACCCTTTTTTCTATTGTTTTATGACCTTCTGTAGTCAGATGATTTGTTTACACAGGCGAGAAAACCGTTTGTGCGCGCAACATCCGGTTCGGGAGTTATGGCTCTTAGAAAATTCCAAAAAGTTTAAATGCATTCAGGTGTACCAAAAGTCTCATTATGGGCCGATCTCATTCTAATTTTGCACGTAAATGCACATGGCCATGAAGATCGTTTTTACACCGATCCAGAGTTCCATGATTTTTTTCAAATTTTAAAACGAATTTAAAATTTTTGAAATTCATTTTAAAATGTGAAAAACATGCTAGAACAGTGGATCGGTGTAAAACGATCTTCATGGCTATGCATTTACGCAAAATTTGAAGGAGATTGGTTCGTAATGAGACTTTGGTACACCTGAATGCATTTAAACTTTGAACTGTTGCGCGTACAAACGGTTTTCACGCCTGTGTGTACAAATCATCTGGCTACAGAATGTCGTAAAACAAGAGAAAAAAGGGTTTGGGAGTGCGCGAAAGTCAAATATTTCGTGCATGTACACGATTTTGGTACCATGTACCGGGCCACTTCCCTTAAATGTTGCAATTGTATTAGACGTACAAACAATTCGTCAACAAGCGCAACTTCGACGGTAACGAGGTCAAACGCGCGCAGTCGACCGAAAAGATGGCGTATGATAAAAACCATGACAAGAAACCAAACCTAAGAAAACCAAGGAAACTAGGAAACCTTAGAACTTTAACTTAACTTTATTGGGTTCTAGGCGACAAATTAAGTCACACAGATTGGTTAGTACCATAAGCTCACAATTTAGGTTATAATTTTGTAAATACGCAGCAGAAGACAAAGCAGTAGTTTGACAGAATTCTTCATCAGGCACTGAACTTTGAGAGAATACATAGCACGTCAGTTGTTGTCATTAAGGTCACGTAAAATTAAAGTAAAATACAGCAAGGTCGATAATAGCAGAAGCGATTCCCATGAAACATTTCACATAAAAGTCGACATGAAATTCCTCGGAGGCGGCGAATTGTTATGGTGTCCTGATACTGACAGCGTTTCCAAAGTATGCAACTCCGTAGTTGAGCATGCGTTCCCAAACAACTGGATAAGATGTGGACAATTCGATAACATTTCGTGCAAGAATGTGCGAGGGGAAGTAAAGGCACAGATGATAATTAAGCATAGCGTATAAATTAATTTAGCAAGTCATTAAGTCAGCCATAAAAAGGGTAACTGTTAGAGTGTGAAATTAACATTAGATTTTGAATTGTTTTACTTAATTTTGTACTGTGAATTAAACAGATCGTGCAGTCCGTACGCAGGCGCCAAAAGCAGGAAAAGACAGTACGAAATTCAATTTATTAAGTTGTTAATTAGTTCATACCATGCGATTGGTTAAGTTGTTAATAAGTTTGTTGCTTCACGAAGATACGTCCGTACGTAATTTTCCTCAAATGGCGGCGAGGCGTCATTCCGTGGAAACCATGCTTCATCGATTTGAATTTGGTTCTTTTCCGCTTACCGATGGGGAAAAATTCCGTAGATTTCCATGTAGAGTGGTCCTGTTTATTGCTGATTTTGTTGGTACAGATAGCATGGAAAACAGAGGAGTATCCAGATTTCATGGTGGTGTCGGCAGAGCCAATTGTGTTAATGTGGCTTTGGGTTCCGATAGATTTAACGTATTCAATGGCGGAATATTGGTTCAAACTGTCGGCAATGTGGTCCGCAAAATGTAATGTTTCGTCCTCAGGGGTATTCGAGGAAGCTTCTTCGTACTGCAGAAGTTTCTCAAAAGACTGTTGAAGATATTCGCAGATATTCGTTCCCCAGTTTTGTGAAGATGGCAGTGATGTTGTCTTTGATGGCAGCGATGGTGTCATTAACGTCCTTGAGATAATCGGGAAAATCCAGTCGTAATTCGGAAGTAATGTCGTGATTATAGACAAACATGATTTAAGTAAAGCGTAAGGTCACGCGTGGTCACGTAAGGTCAGATTTAAGTAAAGCGTCCAGCATTAGAAAAGTCACGGTAGCATTCGGCAATCGTGTAGCTGTGTAGTAAAGCAAACGCCTGGTCGGGTTCCAATGGTTTACCTACGTGAGTAAAAGTGCTAAATTTATTGATCGATCTCGACGTGAGCAAAAGTGAAGTGAAAATCCGGTAGTCTAAATTCCTAAAAAATCTAAGGAACTTGAGTGATCCAGACAAACGGACAAATGACTTCGTGAAATAGCGATAGCGTCTGTCCGATATTTTGTTACGGTCGACGAAATGGCGAGCCTTGCATTACTCATAGTTGATTCAAGCGTTACCGAAAGGCCAAAGTAGAGTCGCTGACTCCGTAATCGACACTTTGTGATAAGATACAAGATTCTCTAGGGAAAGCTCCAAGGGCTCTCGCAATCTTTTTATACAAAGTACCACCAGCAGACGTTCATGGCCGGTAACTTGACGCACTCTAGCAACCAGGACATCTTTCTCTGTGTAATTTGACAGACTTGATAATCTTCGCTTTGTAAGCAGCGCCAAATAATCCTTTCCGATGAAGTCTGCGCGTGAATACCGGTAGTACATTCCACTCCATTAGGACAACAAACACTCGATCACTTTTGGCTTTTCTCGGTTTATCTTTGTGCGCTTCCATTAATATTGTAACAGCAGCCGGTTTGACTGCCATTTTAGTGGGTAAGTTAACGAACCTAAGCACGATCTGTCGGCTGTTACGATGGGGAAGGCTGGCATGGTCGGAAGCGGTGCTGACCGGAAGCTGACGTACCACCTTTTATTGCTATTACGCTCAAATCCAATCTATTTATTTGTGTTATTTTTATTCCCACGTTATCATTCCTGTGAGCAAACGTATTAATTATCTGTGTGACTACATTGTAGTTTGTCGCCTAGAACAACATTAAAGTAAAGCAAAGTAATATCAACTATCCACGAAAACAAACATGTGCAGTACTCGTTCACATTCCCCGAGCACTTCTTCCGGATGGTGTCGCGTCATCGGTCTTGCAGTAATTACAAAATAAATTGCCGTTTCTTTGGAAAATTTTCATAATTCCATCTAGTGAAAAACTGGGAATTCTAACGAGCAGGTGATACAGCGATACTACGGCACCCCGCTGTGCTAGCGATGAAAAGACAATTAGCGGTGTCGGATAAACACAGCGGCCCAGTTATAAATTATAACTGATTTTCGAAGTATAGAATTACGGATAATTCAACAAACAGCATTTTCATTCATGCAGAGGAAACGGTTCAGTCCAATTTGCCGCTCGTATCGTCTTTCGGATAACCAGCTGCAACACCGCTTCAAACATCAGAGAAACGATTTTTCCGCAGCCAATAGCATTTTTATTTCGGACCGATCTGCTAACACGAGGAGAATGCCTGATGTATGTAAATCTGCGCCAGAATGGCGCTGTATGTGGCCCAGTTGCCAAAGACGAAGATTGTGGGTCCCAATCAGGCGACAAATGCCTGAGTTATCCTACCCGCTTGGAGATCCAGAAGCAGCGCTTCTCATTTACGCCAGCGACCCAGTCATGCCACAAATGCGCGGCATTACGTAACCACCTATGTTAAGTCTAAGGGCGATTTACCTTCAAGTGGCCAGGCTTCAGTTATTTCGCTCTAGTACCGATTTTCTTTCAGTTTTTTGTTTTAACATGCACAACTTCCTCTTTCCAAAGGACTTGAAAATTTTTTAAAATCGACTGAACCGTTTTTAAGTAATTAGTGTTGTAAAAAACCAGTGGCGAAACGCTTAAGCCACGCCACGCGAGCCACTACACTAGGCTAAACTTACGTCAGTAACAACCGCGCATGTGCGGTGGCAATGAATTCGCAAATTTACTCTGTACTTTTTGTCGCAGCCTAGATTCGCGCAAAATTTGAGTATTTTAATTGCACTTGAAGCTGCACGAGGAACAAGAAAAAGCATATTGATGAAGTCTTCGTTGCAACCGCACATGCGCGGTTGTTACTGCCATAAGTTTAGCCTAGTGTAGTGGCTCGCGTGGCGTTTCTTAAGCGTTTCGCCACTGGTTTTCTACAACGTAAATAACTGGAAAACAGTTCAACCGATTTAAAAATTTTCAGGTACTCTGTAAAGAGTAAGTTATCCTAAATATTCTATACCAAAAAACCGAAAGATAATCGGTACTGGAGCGAAATAACTGAAGCCTGGCCACTTGAAGGTATGCCGCCCATTGACTTAACATAAGTGGCCACATGAATGTCTCTACGGTTAGCTTAGAATGCGGTGGTCGTGACCTTTTTTGTCATATGGATGGTTTAGCGGATAGCAAGATGTCGGAACCAGGTCAAAATTATGATCTTTTTGCACCTTTTACGCAGAAGCATCTATGATAAACGCAACGGCATGCTGGTTACAAAAATAACAGAAAAACAGGTTAACCGTACATTACCCTTAGTACATTACCCTTTAACCCTAGAGAGGACAGAGACTTTGGTTGTTTTTTAATGTTTAAATTTTTACCATGATGTAGTGTGCCAGCGCTTGCGACTACTGTTAATCGGATGGCTATTGCTAAATAAAAATTTCGGTTTACGGTTTAAATAAAGTTTTCGCTAGCCCAGACACAATATAGAAAGTTACACAGAATATCAGAAACGCCACCAAAAAGCGGGATACTCAGAAGCAACACAACACTAATTTCGTTCAATCAACACACACCAATCTCGTTCAATTCTTGAAAAAATCTTTTGCCTGACGCTGTAACCACCCAACAAACCGAACAGCCACTTCACTGTCT